GAGGGCTGGAGGAGGCTGATATCACCGAGTTCACTCCTGTCCATGGGAAGAGTGAAGAGGATGATGAAGAGAAACCTCCGTCCTCACAGCTTCATCAGAGCCAGACTAAAGAGAACGAAGATGCAGAATATTTGACAACAGAAGCTGATGGAGAGGATTGTGGAGGACCAGAACCAGCCAGGAACTTGAATCCAGATCATTTACAACCAGGTGCTGATGATGAGAAGTCACACTCCTCTGAACCTGAGACTGATGACAGCTGTGACTGGGAGGACGTCAAAGAACCTGAGTGGGGTTTGAACTCTCTGCAGAACAATGAAGTATCAGTAAGTGATGTGGGATGTAACACTGGAAGAAAACCAGTTAGCTCCTCTGAATGTGCTACAAGCTCTGGCCACACAGAAGGGAGATTGAGACCATTAACATGCTCAGTTTGTGGTAAAAAATGCCGCAGTAAGAACACTTTAATCTCTCACATGAAAGTTCATTTAAAGGGACACAGTTCCATCTGCTCAGTTTGTAACAAATCTTTTCGGTGTAGAGCAATTTTGATGGCACACGTGAGAATTCACACCGGGGAGAAACCCTACAGTTGCATATTTTGCGGCAGAAGATTTGCACAAAAGTCTCACCTGAAGCGTCACTCTCAAGTCCACGCGAAGGAGAAACCATTTAGTTGTTCGCTTTGTAATAAAAGATTTACGATGAGGTCATCTGTGAAACGACACATGAAAATCCACGCCAAGGAGAGACCGCCTCGACGTTTGTAATGAAAGACTCACTCAGCTCGCTTCTGTGTGCTGGCGAGAGCAGCAGACGGAAATGAATCCTGCAGAGTTGCTCGTTGGGCCGATTTCTTCCAGCAGGTTTGCGCAGTTGCCTTTCAAAGCCAAGGTTCAGGTTTTCCAACCCTGTTTTCTTACAATATAGATCCCGCATTATGTTGAGAGAGTTTATGGTTGCTGTGCTCGTTCTTCCAGTCCACGCATCAGTAACAGATCAGTTATTTACTTCCTTTCATACCAGGTTTAAAATGGGTTTGAACAGTTCACTTAAATGTAGCAAAATCCGTCCAAACATGTTTATCTTGAAGATGAAAACCTCATCACCTTAAATAAGCTGTCTTTTTATCTCTTCTTATCTTTCTTATCTTTATTTATTGAAGTACTTTATTCTTAGGGTTAGGGTTAGTGATTTCTGTGTGATTTATATATTTTTGTGT